CTTTGAAGACCTGGAAAGCACTCCCAACAAAAGGGAAAATTCGCTATATCATACATCCATCAGACAAAGACCTGAAAAGCCGTATCAAGATTTTGTAGCCAGGTTGCTACAGGCAGTTAACAGAATAATTAGTGATTCAAGGGCTGTCCTTGCCAGTGGGTTGCCCTGTGCGTCCTGCATGGCGCTGAGCTTTGGAACTGGGGTCCGCTTTGGGACTGGGGTCCAGTGTGGAGAGCCCCTCATCCTGGGAAAATGGGCGGCAGGCAGGCAGGCAATTGCACAGGCACTCACCAGGAGGCTGCAGGGGCTGCAGGGCTCCCCAGGGAGGGCAATCAGGCCACAGAAGGGGTGTGTTCCTTCGGTGCCAGCCTGGGCAGCTCCTCTGTCTGCCACCCCAAGTTTGGCAGCAAGTTTCCAACTGGCTTCTCTGAACTTTGGGGAGTTGAAAATAGGAATGCCAGGCATGGGTGCTAAGTGCTCTTGGAAAGCATTGAAAAACATTCTGCCCCAAGTATACATGAGTGCTAGGAGGACACTTCACTTTCCTGCGTCCTTTTGAAAACCTGGGGTCAGAGGAAGTTTTCCCATCCCTCTGCCCATGGTTTAACCCAAATACTGCCGGCGGGAGGGCTTCCTTGGACACCTTTCACCGTGTTCTCCTGTTAGGCCTAATGGTCCATTTGGTTGAATTAGCAAAGGTCATAGTAGCAGCCTTAAGGGAAACAGGGCCCATGGAAAAGGATCACCCTAGGAAGGGTCAGGATGGCAGGCCTAGGTCCCAATTAGGGATAAAAAAGACTAGGACAAAGTCAGGTGTAGAGGATACTGGTGCAGCAGACTCAGCCCTGACTGACCCAATGGGCCCCTAACCTACCTGTGGGCTTCAAAGAGGACTATATACCTTGGGAAGAATACTGTTGACTCATTCATTTCTGGTCATGCCGGAGTACCCATTTTCCCTACTCAGATGTAATCTTCTCCAGTGACTGTTCAATTACTGAACACTGCCACTCCAGGCCAGCCCCACATCAAGTTCTACAAGACTTTGGCCATCAATCCTGCCAGCCTGCCTCCTGCATGATGTGATGACCTGGAAAAACCTCTAAAGAACTACCTGGAGGTAGCTGACTCAGTGCAGACGGCCCACCCAGACCTCAAGGATGTTCCACTGCCTTCATCAGTAGAGGTATTATTGTTCATGGACGAGAGCAGCTATGTCCAGGAAGAAATTAGGTATGTTAAGGCAGCAGTAATAACTCTGGACTGTGTCTCAGTCATTAAGTAGGGGAACTTAAGCCCAATGGCCTTAACTCATAGCCCTAATCCAGGCTCTCCGATGGGGCAAGAGAAAAATCTGCTGCAGATCAGAAAGCTTGGGAGGCAGCCCTAAAACCAGTGGGGCCTCTCCAGATACTCTAGGTCAGAACATTTTGCAATGGCTGAACAGAAGCAAACCACCCAAGAATCAGTGGCTGATGGACACTGCCTGATGGGAGGCTGTTTTAGTCCCAGAGGCTTTAGGTCAGACTTTAGTCAACCATCTGCACCAGACTACCCACTTAGGTTACACCAAGCTTACTAAACTCCTGAGTGACAGGTAATGTCCAGTAAAGTCACAAGGAAAGGGAGAAGGCAGAGAGAAGCATAAATGTGTGGGTCTGACTAGGGAGGAGAAAAAGGAAAACTGGGCAATATGCAGATAGCAGATAGATTGAGCAAGCTCTCAGGTTAATGTCAGGGAAAGGGCTAGGAAAATCACAAAAGGTCTATGCAAGTAAAGAAAGATAATGCAGAGGAAATAAAAAAATAAGAAAGGATAAAAGAAAGGAACATACATATTACAGGAAGACAGAACCTTATCCAAATTTACTTTAGAAACTGGTGCAAACTGGAACACTCTGCTCCCCCTCGCCCTCTTACAGTTCTTGCAGGCCCTGCAGTCCACCCAGAAAGCTGTCCATAAACTCATCTGTGACGCCCTACCTGTACCCACCTTAGACCCTGTGTACCCTTTCCAGCCTGGGGACTCGATATGGTTCGCTGAGGACTCTGGCGAATGGTGTCCTCTATGCAGAAGACTGAAAAACGAGTGATGATGCTTCTAACCACAGCAGCAGTGGTGATCCCACAATTTCAAGAAAACAAAAAGGGGGAACATGTGGGGTTGGGGGGTTAGAAGACGGACAATTTGTAACCTTGTGTTAATGCATTCTCGCTTTCTGGCCAGCCCAGGTGAACTGAGTGCAAGATAACGTTTGCATGGGTGGACTAATGGATCCTAGGACTCAAGAATGTCTGTGTTTGTTATTTTTTAGTTTCAAAGTCTCTTTCTGCCATAAAAAGCAAGAGACAAAGCTAGGCTGTACTGTTTGCAGAGACGCCATCTCAAGGAAATAATTTGCATAAATCCACTTGTAACCTGGGGGAACCAATCTGCAAATAAATGGGACTGCGTCCAAAGATCTAGAGCATTTACTCCCTTGCAAAGCTCCCCCTCATTTCAAGCAGCGTGTGCTTGTAGTTTCATTGCATTGCACGGATCCCAGCAAGCCAAGAGACGGCAGTCAATTTTGAGTTTATTTTTTAGTATGGTGTAAGTTAGTGGTCTAGTTGTTTGTTTGTTTTTTGCATGTACCTGTCCAATTTTCCCAACACCACATATTGAAGAGAATGTCTTTACTTCATTGCATGCTCTTGCCTCCTTTGTCTAATATTAATTGACTATAAAGGCATATGGGTTTATTTCTGAGCTCTCTGACTTGTTACATTGATGTATATGTTTTTTTAAGATTTAAGTATAAGTTGCAAAACCATAAAAATCCTAGAAGTAAACATAGGCAGTAAAATCTCAGACATCTCTTATAGCAATGTTTGCCAATATATCTCCTAGGGCAAGTGAAACAAAGGAAAAAAAAACAAATAGGACTACATTAAATTAAAAAGCTTCTGCACAGCAAAAGAAACCATCCACAAAATGAAAAGGGAAACTACTGTCTCAAAGAACCTATTTGCTAATGAGACATCTGATAAGAGGTGAATTTCCAAAATATATAAAGAACTTTAACAACTCAACACCAGGAAGATAAACAGTCCAATTAGAAAATGGGCAAAGGGCCTGAATAAACACTTTTCCAAAGAGGACATACTGATGGCCAACAGACATATGAAAAAACACTCACTGCCACTAATCACCAGAGAGATGCAAATTAAAACCACAATCAAATATTACCTCACATCTGCCAGAATGGCTACCACCAGTAAATCAAACAACAAGTGCTAGCGAGGATGTGGAGGAAAGGGAACCCTAGTGCACTGTTGGTGGGAATGCAGACTGGTACAACCGCTGTGGAAAACAGTATGGAGTTGCCTCAAAAATTAAAAATGGAGCCCTGCTGCTCAGGTAGTGTTGCTCAGTGGATTGAGCATCACACCATGGACTGAGAGGTCCCGTTTGATTCCCAGTCACAACACATGCCTCGGTTGCAGGCTCAATCCCCAGAGGGAATGTACAGGAGGAAGCCAATCGATGTTTCTCTCACATAGATGTCTCTATCTCTCTTCCTCTCTCTCTCCAAAAAAAATCAATAAAAACAACCCTGGCCAGTTTGGCGCAGCAGCTGGAGCATCAGTCTGAGGTCCAGAGAGACCTAGGTTCGGTTCCTGCTAAGGGCACGTGCCTTGGTTGCAGTTTGTCTCCGGCCCTGGTTGAGTTGTGTGGGTAGCAGCCACTCGATGTGTCCCTTTCACGTCAATGTTTCTCTCCCTCCCGCTCTGTCTGAACAAAATATGGAAAAATGTCCTTGGGTAAGGATTTAAAAAAAAAAATCAATAAAACCATATTTAAAAAGTTAAAAAAAAAAAGATATCATCTCACGCTGATTAAGATGGCTATTATAAAAAAAAATTTTTAAATAACAACTCTTGATGAGGATGGGGAGAAACTAGAACCCTTATGTACTGTTGGTAGGAATAAAAAATAGTGCATCCATGAAAACACTATGGTGGTTCCTCAAACATTTTTAAATTGAATTAGTATACAATCTAGCAATCCCACTTCTGGATATATATCCAAAAGAACTAAAAGCAAGGTCTTGATGAGATATTTGTATACTCATATTCATAGCAACATTATCCATGACAGTCAAAAGGTGAAATCAGTCAGGTTTGTGTGGCTCAGTGGCTGAGCATCAACATAGGCCCAATCTTCAGTAGGGGGCATGCAGGAGGCAGACAATCGATGTTCTCTCTCATTGATGTTTCTATCTCTCTCTCTCCCTCTCACTTCCTTTCTCTCTAAAAAAAAAAAAAAAAAAAATCAGCCCTGGCCGGTTTGGCTCAACGGTTGGAACGTTGACCTGTGGACCAGAGAGTCCCGGATTTGGTTCCTGCTAGGGGCATGTTCAAAAAAAAAAAAAAAAGAAAAGAAAAAAAAATCAATAAAGAACAAAAAATAAATAAAATCAAAACAATGAATGAATAATACAAAATGTGGTATTCACACAAAATATTATATGGCTATATAATATTTAAAATAAATAAAATACTGCTATATGATAGATACAACATGGATGACTCCTGAGGACCTTATGCTAAATGAAATAAGGAAGTCAGTCACATACACACACACACACACACACACACACCCCATGCACAAAACACTGTATGATTCCACTTACATGAGGTACTTAGGTAAAATCAGAGACAGAAAATAGAATGATGGTTGCTGAGGGGAAGGGAAAATGTGGAGTTGTTTAACAGGTATAGACTTTCAGTTTTACCAAATGAAAAGAAATATGGAAAATGAAGGGTAGTGATGGTCTCACAACTGTATGAATGTGAAAGTAGTTAATAATGTGAAATTTACAGTTAAAAATGGTTAAGATAGTACCTTTTATATGTGTGTTTTACCACAATAAAAAAGTGGTAATAATATGTTCAAATTTGAATCAAACATAAAATAACTTCTTAAAAATCAAACAACAGTAATAATAGAAAAATACCTTGCAATTCTGTAGCAGTCGTATGAGATGTTCAAAGCAATTACTGTTAAGAAAAATGGCCTGAAGAACAGGCCTATCTGTGCAGTCTAACATGGCTGTGATGGTATCTAGAAGAATAAAAATAAAATCATCCGTTTATTAAGTAGGAAATTTGGAATCATAGAAATATTTACTCTAGCTGTATTTTAAATTTAGGCTTTTGAGATGACAAATAGATATAAAATAATTAGTAAATAATAGGGATGGGTAGTAGGAAAAAAATCTGTACTTCTTACTTGATAAGAAAAAAGAACACTTCTATATTTTATTATTAAAAATATTTAAATTTTTGGCCCTGGCCAGTTTGGCTCAGTGGTCCAGAGAGGCCCAGGTTCAATTCCCACTAAGGGCACGTACCTTGGTTGAAGTTTGTCCCCAGCTCTGTTGGGTCATGCAGGAGGCAGCCATTCAATGTATCCCTTTCACGTCAATGTTTCTCTCTCTCTCTCTCCCTCCCACTCTATCTGAACAAAAAAGAAAAAAAAAAGAAAGAAAAAAAAAAATTTAATTTTTGCCCTGGCCAGTTTGGCTCAGCGGTTAGAGTGTAAGCCCATGGACCAAAAAGTCGTGGGCTTGATTCCGGTCAAGGGCATGTACCCCAGTTGCAATACATCCCTGGTCCTGGTCAGGGCCATGTGGGAGGCAATCAGTCAATGTGTCTCTCTTACATCAATGTATCTCTGTCTCTGTCTCTCTCTCTCTCCCTCCCTCCCTTTCTCCCACCCACTCTATATGAAGATAAATGGAAAAATATCCTCAAGTGAAGATTAAAAAAAGAAATTTAACTTTTTATATAAGAGTGATATATATTTATTTCTCAGAGTTTACATAATTATTCTTTAATTATAATGCTTAAGTATAATCAACTGAGGTTCCCAACTTGCTATTACTAAGCAACACGTGGTTCTGTTTGGCAACATAATCTCATCTATGCAGTATAAAGTTAACATACAGTTATTATGAAAATGAGATTCAGTTAATTAATCCATTTGTGATGATGTTCTGCTCTTGTTTCCTACTGAAGGAATACCCCCATTCAGAAATCAAAGAACATCTGTAACCCTATGTTCATAGCAGTGCTATTTAAAATAGCCAAGATCTGGCAACAGTCCAAGTGCCCATCAGTATATGAGTGGATAAAAATGATGTGATACATTTACACAATGGGATACTCCTCAGCCATACAAAAAAAAAAAAGGAAATCTTACCTTTTGAATGGACCTGAAGATTACTATGCTAAGGGAAATAAGCCAGTCAGAGAAAGACAAATACAAGATGATCTCTCTTATATGTGGAATCTAATGAACAAAATAAACTAAACAAGATAGGAACAGAGGTATGGATACATGGAACAGACTGACAGTTATTAGAGGAGAGGAGGGTTGGGGAACTGGATGAAAGAAGGTGAAGGGACTAAGCAAAAACAAAACAGACACAGACAACAGTATAGTTGAAAGCTGGAGGGAAAGAAAGGTGGGGGTAGGTGGAGGGAGGCAAAGGCAGGATAAATGGGGACAGAAAGAGACTTTGCTTTGGGTGATGGGCGCACAATGCAGTGTGCAGATTATGTTTTGTTGAGTTGTACATTTGAAACTTGTAAGGTTTATAAACCAATGTCACCCCAATAAATTCAATTTAAAAAAAGAAGTCAAAGAACATTTGGCATAAGTAATATGATAGTTTACAACAAAAAACAAGTCCTTTCAATACAGTTTCAAATTTCCTTATAAACTTACAATTTATAATTATAAACCAACATGTTATAGCATATAAAAGGAGGAAACACATATAAGATGAATCTTATTCCCCTACACAAACACTATTGTAGTTACTCATTAAGTTTCACCAAGATTTTGACATCCAATATTTTTAAATTGGACACCACACCCACATAATCATTTGTCTTTAAGTCTGCAGAGCTACAAAACAAACCATTAATGTTGGTTATGTCTGTGTGACAGGATATAAAAAATTTCTATTATCTTTTTAATTATCTGAATTTCCTAGTTTAGCTATAATAAAAATATTTTAATTCTATAAAAGGAACTCTCAGTAATATTTTTATCAATCTAAGACAGGAATACAATAAAAAATCACATATTAGTGAAGGAGCTTGCAGAGACAGATAAATAAGCACAGAATGACCAACACAAAGAGAGGCAAAGAGAAACAAGACACACACACACACACACACACAGGTTCTGAGGAAAACAAAATAAAAAACAGAGGTTCTCTAGAGGAAGGACAGATGTTGAAGTAGTCTCTATAGAGATGTTACAGAAGCACATACAAAATTGATTTTATGTGATGTGATTCTCTGCAATAGGTTAGAAACTACAAATAGCACTTTCTGAAAATAAAGGGTGGTATGGAGGGATTGAGAAAAAAATAATAATAATCACACAAAAGCTGAATTAAACAATCAATACTTTCTATACAATGGCCTTGAATTTCAAATGAAAGTGGAAATATAAAAGTAAAAAACTAAGACTCAGAGAAAACTGAGTATAATAAACTTTATGTGATACTTACTCAGCATTTTAATCTGTAGAGCTATGAACCGGCTTTCCCACTCTCTGGACCTCCTTTGATTAGGTAAAGCTGAATGATCTGAATTTAGTAATTTAAAATAGTTCTCCAGTATAGTGCTGGTTTCCACTTGACGCTGGTCAGAACTGCTAGTGAGAAGGATATGTACCACTTCCGTAAGGCACTTCAGAGTCAGTTCTACCTTCCTACTCACTTCTTCAGGATTTCCATCCTCCCAGGAATCACAATCTGCCAAAACTCTCATAAGAACTTCCATGGTGGCTGGAGAAATTGCTTGCAAAGCATTCCTCTGAAACATGACAGACAACAAAAATGAAACCCAAAAAACTGAAGTTCTGTATGCTTGTAAAAAAATTTAACAAGACTTCAGACAACTTTTTTTTTTTTTTTTTAAACGCATTGACACTGCTGAAGTTTTATTTTATTTTTTTTTATTTATTTTTTTTATCCTCACCCGAGGATATTTTTCCATTTTTTGTACAGATAGAGTGGGAGGGAGAGAGAGAAAGGGAGAGAGAGAGAGAAACATCGATGTGAAAGGGACACATCAAGTGGCTGCCACCCGCACGATCAACCAGGGCCGGGGACAAACTGCAACCGAGGTACGTGCCCTTAGCGGGAACCGAACCCGGGTCTCTCCAGACCGTAGGCCGACACTCTAACCGCTGAGCCAAACTGGCCAGGGCCAGACAACTTTTTATTTTAGTAAATCAAATATAAAAATTTTTAAATCAGATACTTTGACAGACACTACTAGTGTTTTACAGGTCTTCATTTCCTCACTAATAGAATCCTTAATCAGACATCAACCTCCCCACAAAGAAAACTCACCACCCTCCCTTGCACTAGGAACAGCTATGTGATATAGTTTTGGTCAAGGATAGATGCTAGCAGACTATAAAGAGGATATCACTTTATAAATAAAAAGAAACAATCCTTTGCTTTTGGCCTTTTTACCTGTTTCCTATATGGAATGCAGACATCATGCTTGGAGCCACCTTTATATTAAAGAAATAAACCCAAGCCCGACCAGTGTGGCTCAGTGATTGAGCATTGACTCATGGACCAGGAGGTTGCTGGTTCAATTCCCAATCAGGGCACATGTCCAGGTTGTGGGCCAGGTTCCCAGTGGGGGACATGTAGGAGGTGGCCAATCGATATCCTCTCTCATCGATGTTTCTATCTCTCTCCCCCTCTCCCTTCCTCTCTCTCTAAAAATCAATAAAGAAAAAAAAAAAATTAAAGAAATAAACCCAAGAATTAAAGTAAGCAGACTATAGAGAGCAGAATAGAAATACTGAAGGATCTTGGTCCTTAGTGGTATCACTAAGCTACTGTACCAGCCCAGAACTGCCTACATCTGGATTTCTTATGTAACAATTAAAAATTTTAAAAATAAAGAAAACTCTATTTCGTTAAGCTTCTCTCAGGTTCTCTGTTGCTTACAGCAAATCCATCTCAAATGATACAGATATAAGTGGACTGGCGTGGCTCGAGTCAACAAATATATTTCTGAAATTCTAAGTAACTGGTAATTATTTGAATTGATTAAACTTAGAAATAAACAATATATATTGCCCTAAATTATTAAATTGACATATAATGAATAAGAACATAGTTATGCAAAATCATCTGAAAGTGAAAGCAATGAGGCTACTAGGACTTGTTATTATCAACATAATAAATAACATCAATAACAAGTACTCTTACACAAGAAATTGCTGATGGTCCACTCAACTTCCATTTTCCTCTGCTTCCTTATGAACAGAATCCCTGATATTTTGCTGGATACTAGGCTACCAGGGATAAGGATTACATTTCCTAACCTCCACTTCTGCTAAGGAAGCAAGTTTTGTCCAATTTTTAATCTGGATGTATTTATTTGCCCTCTTTGCAGTTGTCTGATGGAATTTAGCAAATGAGATAAAAAGACATTGAGTGTCAGCTTTTCAGTGTCTCCATCTTTGTGCCTATAATGCAGACATGATGGCCAGAAGTCTGGAACTACCTTGTAGCCTAAGAAATAGTAAGTAAAAATAACAAACTGACATTCAGGAGGAACATGAGTACCTGAAGATCCTAGAGCCACCAGATTAACTCTGGACTGCTTACTGCTGTTTTCTTTTTTCAATGACAGAAAAAAATAAACTTCTAATTTAAGCTGTTTTAACTTTATATTTACTGCTACTTACAAGGAATCACATAAATCTAACTAATACACCTGTGATTTACTTAGTTCTTATAAGCACAGGTACTTTGTTAAATGTTTTGTTTGTTTTTTTAATCTTTCTTGTTGAATGTATTACAGATGTTCCTCATTTTTCCCCCATTGACCCCCTCCTCCCCACTCCCGCCTTTTCCCACACTATTGTCTGTGTCCATTGGTTATGCATATAAGTTCTTTGGTTTATTTCGTCCCACCCCACAACCCCTTTCCCTTTGAGGTTTGTCATTCTAGCAATGAATGTGTACTTCTTAATCCCTTCACCTTTTTCACCCATTCCCCCAAACCCCCTCCCATCTAGCAGCCAACAAAATGTTCTCTGTATCTATGAGAATGTTTCTGTTCTGCTTGTTCATTTTGTTTGTAGATTCCATTGTCGATAGATATGTATTCATTGCCATTTTGTTTATTCATGTTTTTTATCTTTTTCTTCAAAAAGACCCTTCAACATTTCATATAATAATGGATTAGTGGTGATGAACTCCTTCGCTTTTCCTTGTCTGGGAAACTCTTCATACGGCCATCGATTCTAAATGACAGCTTTGCAGGATAGAGTAATCTTGGTTGTAGGTTCTTGCTTTTCATCACTCTGAATATTTCTTGCCACTCCCTTCTGGCCTGCAAAGTTTCTTTTGAGAAATCAGCTGACAGCCTTATGGGAACTCCCTTGTAGGTAATTAACTGCTTTTCTCTTGCTGCTTTTAAGATTCTCTATCTTGAACCTTTTGCATTTTGATGATGATGTGTCTTGGTGTGGGCCTCTTGGGGTTCATCTTGTTTGGGACTCTCTGTGCTTGCTAGACTTGTATGTCTATTTCCTTCACCAAGTTAGGAAAGTTTTCTGCCATTATTGTTTCAAATAGGGTTTCAATTTCTTGTTATCTCTCTTCTCCTTCTGGCACCAAGATGCGAATGTTGGCATGCTGGAAGTTGTCCCAGAGGCTCCTTACACTATCCTCATTTTTTTGGATTCTTTTTTCTTTTTGCTGTTCTGATTGGGCATTTTTTGCTTCCTTATATTCCAAATCGATGGTTTACTTCTTGGATTTACATATTCTACTATTGAATCTGTGTAAATTATTCTTTATTTCAGTTAGTGCCTCCTTCATTTCTGACTGTGCATCCATGATTTCTGACTGGTCCTTTTTTATGCTCTTGAGGCCCTCAATAAGTTCACTGAGGTTCTCACTAAGTTCATTGAGCATCCTTATAAGCAGTATTTTGAACTCAGCATCTGTTAGGTTGCTTATCTCCATTTCGCTTAGTTCTTTTATTTGGGTTTTGTTCTGTTCTTTCATTTGGGACCTGTTTGTCTCCTCATTTTGGCTGCCTCCCTGAGTTTGTTTCTGTGTATTACTTAACGAGAGGTATGGGGCTATCTGAGACTAGATGCTGCTTGTTTGAAAGAATTGAGGAAAACCTGAAGCAGGATCCAAGACAGGCCAATCCTATGATTAAGCAAGTGGCAACAGCTTGGGTGGACCTGAAAGATGGGGGGCGGGGCCTCAGAGCATCACCAGGGCGGGGCTACCTGTGTGAACCAGGTTGCTGGAGACCCAGATATGGCGACTGTCTGCCGCCCCAGGGAAGGGCTCACCAAAGGAACAAAGGCCTCTGACAGCACATTTGTCCCTGAGATAGCCCCCTCTCTAGCTCTCGCTCCATTGCCAAACAGCTCAGTTCTTCCCTGTATGTCTCTAGTGCCCCTCAAACTGCCTCCCCTCCCAGCTTAGAGGAAGTGAGTCCGATAAGTCTGTGTGCAGCCCTTTAAGGAGCTGCCTGGGACTCCAGCCGCATCAGCCTCCCTGAGCCTCAGTTCCCAATGGTTTTACAGCCAGAAGTTATGGGGACTTCTCCTCCTGGCACTGGAACCCTGAGCGGGGTGTCTGGTGTGGGACGGGGACCCCTCAGTCCTCAGGGAGGACCTTCCCAGCCAAGGTGTCCTCCTAATTTTTATCCGCCACAAGTGGGTGTGGGATCAGCCCATCGCGCCTCCACCCCTCCTACCAGTCTCGATGTGGCTGCTGCTTTAAATCTGTAGTTGTAGGACTTCCATTCAGCTTGATGTCAGGCGGTTCTGAATGATGGTTGTTCTGTAGTTTAGTTGTAACTTTGATGTGGTTGTGGGAGGACGCAATACCGCGTTTACCTACGCCACCATCTTGAGCAGCACTTTGTTAAATGTTTTACATATATTATCTATCATTTGGTCCTTATGACTACCCTCTATGTATTACTATTTCCAAATTATAAAGAAAGAAACTAAAACACATGTAAACAGCTAATCCAAGGTTATACAACTACTTAGAGATGAACTAAGATTTAAACCTATGTTAATCTGGCTCCAAACCCCTCAATCTTAATATAAAACACAAAACAAAACAAGTATGTCAATGGTAAGGCATGATGTTTTGGGAAGGAAGAACAGTCATCAGATTTCAATAGTTCTGCTTTTTATGACAAGGCTATTCTTATGACTTTAGATATCAATTCATCTCAATACCCTTATACTGATACTACAGTCAACAACCTTCTGACTTCAATATAGCAGTTATTATAGCTATAACCTAATTATAAAGATGTTGAATATTTTCAGTACATAAAATAATAAACTGGCCTTTATATATCTACTTGATTTCCATGTTAGTATTATTTACTAGAAGTCTCTCAGGGCTTGATTACCCCTGGCCACTAACAAAGAGTCTCTGTGTGTTCAAAAAGGAAATGGGATCAAACCAGTTTCTTCCATTAGTCAAAAGCAATATCATTTCCAATTCTATTCACATATACTTATTAATTCTTGTTCTTAGTAGTGGAGAAATGATGGCCATCTGGAAATACTGAACCAAAAATAAAACGAGCGATATCAGCTAATAAAGGTGGGTGATAAAGCAAACAAACTGAAAAGTAGATTTTGGTCACCAATCCTCTCATTACAAAGAGACTCTCACTCTTTTAGTAGAGTGATGAGGAGAAGGTAAGGTAGCCCACTAGAAAACCCAAGTAATATTATTAGTAATACCTGTGATTTTATCACCAATAGAAATCATATACATTTTCATATATGTATGTATGTATGTATGTATAAATATATTTTTTAATCCTCACCCAAGGCTATTTTTAAAAATATTTTTTCTTTAGCCCTGGCCGGTTTGGCTCAGCGGTTAGAGCATCAGCCTGCGGTCCTGAGAGACCCGGGTTCGGTTCCTGCTGAGGGCACGTGCCTTGGTTGCAGTTTGTCCCCGGCCCTGGTCGGTCGTGCGGGTGGCATCCCTTTCACATCGATGTCTCTCTCTCTCTCTCTTCCTCTCCCTCCCTCCCACTCTACCTGAACAAAAAATGTCCTCGGGTGAGGATTAAAAAAAAAAAAAAAAGAAAAACAAATAAAATATTTTTTCTTTATTGATTTTAGAGAGAGAGGAACATCAATGTGAGAGGGACACATCAACTGGTTGCCTCCCGCGCAACCCTGACCAGGGCTGAGGATCAAACCACAATAGTGGTACATACCCTTGACCAGAATCAAACCTAAGACTCTCTGGTCTGCGGGCCAATGCTCTAACCACTGAGTCAAACTGGCCAGGGCTACATTTTTATATATTATAGTTGCTTCAGTGTCTTAAAACATCATTTATCCTCATCTCTTCTTTGAAATTGCTTTAATTATACTAGACTTGCTGGTATATCTTCTTTTTTTTTTTTTATCCTCACCCAAGGACACTTTTTCATTCTTTGTTCAGATAGAGCAGGAGGGAGAAAGAGAGAGAGAAACATCGATGTGAAAGGGACACATCGAGTGGCTGCCACCCGCACAACCAACCAGGGCCGGGGACAAACGGCAACCGAGGTACATGCCCTTAGTGGGAACCGAACCCGGGTCTCTCCGGACCGCAGGCCGACGCTCTAACCGCTGAGCCAAACCAGCCAGGGCTGGTATATCTTCTTATGTAATGTGTTATAAAGCACATATTACTATGTTACAAATCTGTTTTATTAATATTTTAGTAACTGTACTTCAGTAAAATTAGTTTCCTTTGTGATCTTATGTATTTTATTATAGGCATTTGAATACATTCTGATAAGAAGCTTTATCAGAATGCCAAAAGGTTACGTGATAAAGAAAGTGTTAGAAACTTCTAAACAGGGCAGTTAAAGAAAATATGTATAATGTTCTTTCTGAACTATAGTACTGTTTTCAACTAGTAATTATACTCAAAAGTTTACCACAGACAGCTTTAAAATGCTGAACTTATAAAAAGAAATAAACATTACAAAATAAACAATTTTTTCTTAAGGCTTTGTTAAAAACCTTGTTTGTATGCATTTAGTAACTTAAGTCAACAAAGAGTGATTAAATTCATGTCTTAGGAAACAGTGCTATAGCTTAATTTTATCAAGTGGACTAATAGAGCTGACTATCCTTTATACTCAAGTAAAAATTGGAGCGGGAAAGTCAACACAAGTAAGAACTTATAATACCAAAAATTGTTAAATCTGGTTATGCATTAATTTAATTTTTAGTGCTAATATTATTATTTAGATTTCTAGGAAGTTAACAAATAAAAGAAGTAAGTAGTTTTAAACACGATATAAACTCAGAAAAATATTTGTATGGTTCATAAAACTATCAAAGGACAAAGAATACATTAAATAATCCATGGAAAGCTTTTTGCACTGTTAACTAATTGTTTTATACATTAACATTCAACACTTGCCTCACCTGCCCACCAGCTATAATGGCTCCAAAAAGATGCAATAAACAACACTTAAGGCTTTCCTTGAGATGTTCACTTTCCTGAAAACACTCTGTAAATAAAATACACAAATGAACAAATAAGTAAGATTTCTCTTTCACAGTATAATTTTTGTCTTAGGAATGTCTGACACTAAAACATTAAGAACTATTTGTGAAAAGGCTAAAATCTGTTAAAAGGCAAGGTTGATATGTATTTTTTCACAGGAAAGGAAAAGAGAAACCATCTTTTGAGATACTTTAGCCATCTCATTTAATTCTCATAACACTCCATATGAGGATGATATTTTGCCCGTTTATGAATGAGCAAATGGAAGGTCAGAATTCAGTATCTTGCCTAAAGTCACAGGGCTACTAAGTAACATCAAAATCAAAGAGAAATCTGAGCAATTACTTACGATAAAAGAAAGGAACGAACTCCACAGTGAGAGAAGCTGGCTTACATTTTTGTCTGCTCTTTTCCACCGTACTAAGGATTCGTCTATTATTAAAAAGAAGTTAATACCAAATTATCTCATGGACAAGTAGAGACGGAACAATTACAAAAGTTATCAAATACATGCAAGCCCGGCCGGTGTGGTTCAGTAGATTGAACGACGTCCCATGGACTGAGAGGTCCTGGTTCGATTCCCAATCAGGGCACATGTCTGGGTTGCAGGCTCGGTCCCCAGTGGGAGGCGTGCAGAAGGCAGACAATCAATGTTTCTATCTCTCCCTTCCTCTCTCAAAAGTCAATAAAAAAATATTTAAAATACATTTATATGCATGAACAATGGACATGGACAACAAAGCTGGGGACAGGGCGGGGAGGGATGGGGAGCAGGAAATCAGTGGGGGGAAAAAGTGAAACATCTGTAACAAAAATAAATAAATTAATTTAAAAAATACATTTAATATTTTACTTTTGATTTGTGTACTGAATAATACATCTCCAGAACTGACATAATCTTAAAGAGGAAATCTAGCCAATAATTTAAATGCTCACCAATAAAAGTATTTCTTCTTTTGAAGTAAGCAAAAAATTAAAAAATGCTTAATGGTCAAACACAGCTGCCAGGTTAAGTCTCCAAACTAGAAATAGAAAAAGGAACTAGCTATTTAAAATTTCTAATCTGTAAAAAGAACTTGTTCAGCAGTACTGCTAATCTGATACCTAAAGTGGTAGTTTATTACAAAAGTGACACTGCCATTCATCAGAAATCAAACTACTCTGTGCCACTTTCTGAAACTTTATTTGGACACAAAGAGTCCACAATACTGGCTTCTTCCATCTCAAGGATATAGCTCCAGTATGGGCTGGGGTCATTTTTGTTTTTAATGACAATTCTAATAGTTTTAATAGATGAAATATTTCCACAAACTTTCATAAGGCCAACACAAATAGAATGTACTTTTACCAACTACATTTCAATTCAACACAAAATGAGTCTCTTAGATGGGCATAGTGATGTGGGGAATTAAAGAATAAAGGCTGCTGTTATAATGATACATCAAACAAGCAGACTGCTGAAATATTTTATTTAATTACAGACATCTTTTTCATGCCCCGAAAAGGCTCTTAACATTGTTATATATCCTCACTCGAGGACATTTTTCTATTTTTTTGTTCAGATAGAGTGGGAGGGAGAGAGAGAGAGAGAAACATCAACATGAAAGGGACACATCAAGTGGCTGCCACCCACACAACCCAACCAGGGCCGGGGACAAACTGCAACCGAGGTACATGCCCTTAGCGGGAACCGAACCCAGGTCTCTCTGGACCGCAGGCCAACGCTCTAACCGCTGAGCCAAACTGGCCAGGGCCATTGTTATATAAAGCCAACAAAAATGGCCCTGGTTGGTTTGGCTCAGCAGTTAGAACGTCAGCCCAGGGTCCAGAGAGACTTGGGTTCAGTTCCCGCTAAGGGCAGGTACCTCAATTGCAGTTTGTCCCCGTCCCCAGTTAGGGTCGTAAGGGTTGCAACCACTCAATATGTCTCTCTCATGTCGATGTTTCCCTCTCTCTCTTCCTCCCTCTCTCCCTCCCGCTCTATCCGAAGATGAATGCAAAAGTGTCCTCAGATGAGGATTAAAAAATAAAATAAAAAATAAAAATAACAACAAAAATGGCCCAGTTGGTGTGGCTAAGTGATTGAGCATCAACACTTGCACCATGAGGTTGCCAGTTCAATTCCCGGTCAGGGCACATGCGCAGGTTGTGGGCTCAATCCCCAGTGGGGGGCATGCAGGACATGGCCAATCGATATTCTCTCTCAACAATGTTTCTCTCTCTCTCTCTCCTTTCCTCTCTCTAAAAATCAATAAAGAAAAAATATTTTTTTAAAAAAACAACAAAAATAAAAAATATTTTAAGAAGCGCCACATAAAAATTCCATACACCTAAATGTGATCTACTGATAAAGTATTAAAATAATGTCTTCTTACTAACCATAATTGAGATACTGAAATTACTTTCCTGCCCAGCTGGTATGGCTCAGTGGCCTGAGCGCCGTCCCATGGACTGAGAGGTCTTGGTTCGATTCCTGGTCAGGGCACAAGCTCAGGGTGCAGGCTCAATCCCCAGTAGGGGGTGCACACAAGGCAGCCAATCGATGTTTCTCTCTTACATCGATGTTTCTCTCTCTCTCTAAGAAAAAATCAATAAAAACATATTTTAATAATAAAAAAAGCCCTGGCTAGTTTGGCTCAGCAGTTAGAGCATCAGCCCACAGACCAATGAATCACAGGTTTGATTCTGGTCAAGGGCATGTACCCCAGTTGCATTTGTCCCCGGCCCTGGTCGGGTGGTCGTGCAGGAGGCAACCAGTCAATGTGGCTCTGTCACATAATAAATAAAAATAAAATAAATAAATAAAAAAGAAATTACTTCCCTTATAATTATTCAAAGCTAGAAACAAAAGTCAACTGACCACAGAATAAGCCAAATAGGATAGGCAAAGATGGACTCAGTAATGACAGAACAAAGTTCTAAGATCCAGATCTAATATCTACATTCACTAGAAATCATTTCAGACACCATTTGCTACTGACTGCTTTCCAAATTTATGATTATTTCTACTGTTTGGAAGGCATAATTACCATACTGTCTGTATTTATTATAATTCCAAACATAACATCCTGGAATACTATTGGATCTTCCTATTTAATTAAGACCATTATCAAAGATTTTATTTCTTTACAACAATACAAATTTTCCTGGAGTTTCAAATAAAAAGTCAGTCATGCCCTTAAAAAATTTAGTCATGTGGTAGAAAAATTAATTTTAAAAGAATGAAACTTAATTTATATTTGTTACATTTTTCCATGGTATTATTTACATTGTGCACACTTATTATCAATTATGGTATTAACAGATTAGTTATATCCTATCATAACATCCTGTGCTACAAATAAGATAAACATTTTCACTTGATTAACATAATCAAAATGTATTCCTGCAATCTGTAATTAATCACTCATTTTAAAAGCCCTGTATTAGATGTCACATATGAACAAAATTTCCATTATAACTGTGGAAAATTTAATATGCTAACATAAATAAAAGGGGAGAAAATTATGTAACACAAACAATAAATTATTGCATGTTTTCAATATGTTAAAGTAGAATAGCTAAAAATAAACTTGGTCATGCACCATTTTTGAAACATAGCATATTAGTTGCTCCATTATTATATATTACATTTGTCTGCGTCTCAGTTTTCTAATTCTAAGTTCATGACCCCTGGTCAATTTTTCTGTGCTTCTTTTTTGTGCTCACCTCCTGCCTAGGATATTTTCTAAATTTTTAAACTTTTTATCTGGATATAAGTTCAAACTCTTGCAAAAATTGCAAGAATAAAAATAGTACAAAGAACTTCAAATACAGTTTATCCAGGTTCATTGTTAAAATGTTATCCCAAATGCTTTACCATTTGCTCACTCTCACTCCATATACATAATGCACATATATTTATGAAAATACATGTTCACACACAGAAGATTTTTCAGAACACTTAGGGAGAAATTATGGGTATTCTGGTCTTTTACCTCTAAATATTTTAGTAAGTACTTCCTAAGAAAAGGAATATTTTCTTAAATAACAGCACAATGTATTTATAAATTTCAGTACATTTAACATTGATATATTTAATCTACTATTAATAATCCAGTTTTGTCAAATGATCCAACTGTGAACTTTGTAGAATCCCTTCACCCCTACCACAGTAGAGCTCCTGTCCAGGGTCAGGGATTGCATTAAACTGTCATGTCTCTTTAGCTTCTTTTAATCTGAAACATTCCCACAGCTTTCTTGATAATACTTTTAAAGAATGCTGTCCCCACCTTTTTTTTATTCATTAAAATGTTCTTCATTTTGGGTTTGCTTGATGTTTCCATACAACTCGATTCAGATTATGCAGAATTGGCTGGAGTGCTATACCAGCAATGAGATGTCCTTCTTTGACTGTCACGGAGGCACAGAATGTCCGTCTGCTTCTCACTGATGTTAATTTTGGTCATCCAGTCATCACACTATCAGTACTATACAAAATAATTACTAATTGCCTGGCTGGTGTGGCTCAGTGGTTGAGTGTCAACACATCATGCACCAAGAGGTCGCCAGTTCGACTCCTGGTCAGGGCACATGCCCAGGTTGTGGGCCAAATCTCCAGTGAGGGGCACACAGGAGGCGGCCAATCAATGTTCCCTCTCATCGGTTTCTATCTCTCCCTCTCCCTTCCTCTCTAAAATCAATAAAGAAAAAAAAAATGTGTTTTTAATGATAATTACTAATTTTTCCTTTGCAACAAAATTTGAATCTGTGGAGAAACATTTAAAACCACACAAAAGGCCCTGGTCAGTTTGGCTCAGCAGTTAGAGTGTCGGCCCGCAAACCAATGAGTTTCGGGTTCAATTCCGGTTAAGAGCACAAACTTCGGTTGCGGTTCATCCCTGGCCCTGGTCAGGGTCATGTGGGAGGCAACCAGTTGATGTGTCCATCTCACGTCGATGTTTCTCTCCTTCTCTCTCTTTTTCTCTCCCTCCCACTCTATCTGAAAATAAACAGAAAAATATCCTCAGGTATGGATTAAAAAATAAATAAAATAAAAAAATAAAACCACGCAAAAAAATCATGTTCCTTATCAAAACTTATTTGTTAACTTGGAGGATGTTTTGGATGAAATTAATCTTTAAACTGGTGAACTCTAGGTAAAGGAGACTGCCCTCCAGAAAGTGCCTCATCCAATCTGTTAAAAGCCTGAATAAAGAAAAAGTGCTGGAAAATTAATTCCCCAAGCAAGGAAGAATTAATTTTCCAGCAGACTGCCTTCCAACTTCTTCTGCATCAACTGGTCTGGGTGCCCAGCCTCACTGCCTTTGGACTGGGACCAGAACATTGGCTCTCTACCAGCCAACCTTCAGCCTATAACTTTACCATTTACTTTCCTGGGGCACAAGCCTACCAATCCACATGGCAGATTTGGACTGCCAACCTCTATAATCATGAGGCAATTGTTTATACTAACTCTTTCTAAACACACACATACATACCTTACTGATTTTGTTGCTATGGAGAACCCTAACTAATAAAGACAACTTCTCTCAAGGCATAAAGGAAAGTTAATGTATAAATAACTAGATAGGATTGTTATATTTAATAGCTAGAGTATTTGTTCCTATTATTCTATATCTTACCTCTTGCTTTAACTAAAGGATTCAGTATTTAAGTAAAATATCACTAATTAGAACATGTAATTATTACTATATAGTCTACATAAATGTTCTGTTATCAACTTTTCACCACCATCAGGTGGTAAACACACAATACAGTGCACAGATGATGTGTTGTAGAACTGTGCACCTGAAACTGTAGAATTTTTGTTAACTAGTATTACCCCAATTAACTCAATAAAAAGGAAAAAAATTACCCACCATTATCTAATGATGGCATTCAAAGTGAGAGTATACTACCCTAAAAACCCTGAAAAGCCTATAAAAACCAAACATTTCAGTAATAAAATGTTGCAGGAAGTGAGAACTGTTTATAAGTGGGTCAGGTTAAATTGAAAATGAAAAAATATTTTTTAATCCTCACCCAAGGATATTTTTTTCCATTGATTTTTATTTTACAGAGAGTGGAAGGGATGAAGAGAGGGGGAGAGTGGGAAGGAGGAAGAGGGAAAGAGGGAGGAAGAGAGAGAAACATCAATGAGAGAGAGACACATCGATTAGTTGCCTCCCACACGTGGCCCCAACTGGGTTGGGGATCAAACCTGTAACCCAGGTACATGCCCTTCACCAGTAATCAAACCCATGACCCTTTAGTGCTCCGGCTGATCCATATCACTGAACCACTGAACCACATCAGCCAGCCCCCCCCCCCCCAAATCTTGAGATTGAAAATATAGCAGATTTAGGAGACCTATAAAAGCAATCTAATTGTGGGTGATGACACAAATCTTCATATTCTATGCCCACAGATTAAGAAAGATGTACAAATGTAAAACTCTTCTCTTTGAGCTCTGTACTGGTAATTATACTATTGTCATTAACCTCTAAACCCATCATCCTATACTGTATCTGCTTCTGAGATTCAGAAGGCACTCTACAATCTATATTTCATTTTTCCAAGCCACCCCACTGTTGGGTTTGCCAATAGGGAGTACTAAATCGAGACCGGAAGGTTAAAAAGTAAAAAAAGGGATTCATTCCTTATTCCTTATTCTTTACCAGCTAACAGTTCTTAACTGTAGCATTTACAGTTGGTTCCTATCTTCTGCCTATTTTTGGCTATCTCAGAACTAGCCTCTAAGACTGCTTAGCAATACCTAGACTGGCTAAGCAATGCTATTTCCTCAGAGGTACAAGCCCCAGCACTGCAGGAACTCTCTAAATCTAGTTTCTGGTAACTCTAATCTCTTCCTTTTGTTCCCTCATCCCAGAAAAGTAGCTGCCTCCTGAAGTCACTGTATTGGTATTATCAGTGTTCCCCTATGCTTTTTGAATTCCCCGATACCTATTACACAATGTTCTTGTATTATACACGGTAGGGCAAAACTAGGTTTACAGTAATTCCTATGCAAAATAATACAACAGCCCAGCCAGTGTAGCTCAGTTGTTGAGCATCAGCCTATGCACCAAGAGGTCGCTGGTTTCCCATCAGGGTACATGCCTGGGTTCAGGTTTGATCCTCAGTATGGGGCATACAGAAGGCTGCGATCAATGTTAATGCGTCTCTCTCTCATTGATGTTTCTATGTCTCTCTCCTTCTCCCTTCCTCTCTAAAAAAAAAATCAATAAAAACATTTTTTAAAAATAATACAATTAATAAATAGTAATACAAGAATAAACTCTATTTCACTTACAACTGTAAACCTACTCTTGTCCACCCCATATTCTCTTTTTAAATACTAATATAGTTTCTGTTATTCTGACTGACACAAGCTCCACGAATGAAAATAAATGGCTGGCCCTGGCCGATTTGGCTCAGCGGTTAGAGCATTGGCCTGCGGTCCAGAGAGACTCGAGTTCGGTTCCCGCTAAGGGCACGTACCTCGGTTGCAGTTTGTCCCAGGTTCTGGTTGGGTCGTGTGGGTGGCAACCACTCGATGTGTCCCTTTCATGTCGATGTTTCTCTCTCTCTCTCTCCCTCCCATTCTATCTGAACAAAAAATAGGAAAATGTCCTCGGGTGAGGATTAAAAAATAAAAATAAATAAAAAAACAAAAAAACAAATGGCTCATTTGGCTCAGCAGTTAGAGCATCAGCCTGTGGACCAAGCAGTTGCAGGTTTGATTCCGGTAAAGGGCACATGCCTTAATTGTGGTTCGGTCCCCGGCCCTGGTCAGGGCCATACAGGAAGCAACCAATCAACGTGTCTCTCTCACATTGATGTTTCTGTTTCCCTTTCTCTCTCTCTCTCTCTCTCTCTCTCTCTCTCTCTCTCTCACTTAACCTTCCTCCCTCCCTCCCACTCTGTCTGAAAATAAATGAAGAATATCCTTGGGTGAGGATTTAAATAAATAAATAAATAAATAAATAAATAAATAAATAAATGAATAAGTAAATGGACAAGATAGCTCCAGTGTGTGTGTGTTAAGTAGGTGGGTAGAGGGATTGAGCAAAAAAAAAAAAAAAAAGGCAGAGAGAAAGAAAACTCAAGGACATGGACAAAAGTATGGTGATTGCTAGGGTGGGGGCAGGGAAAGGTAGAAGAGGGCAAAGAAGGGATAAATGGTGATGGAGAAAATAAAATAAATGGACAAATATTGCTAAAAATCATTTTCAAATTGTGAAATATGCTTTAAAAACAGAGACCTCTCCTTGAAAAATATGTAGTTTCTACTTGATGCTACTGTGCTTTGAAGTTTTCCTGATATTAGCATTCAATTGCATCACAAAATAAAAGTTCAGGGTAAATTAATATCTGGAAGTGGCATGTATCATTAATTCATTACCTCCAATATAGTTCTCTACTTCAGAGACAGAAATGGGGGTCGTCTTATATACATATTACCAATTGCTTTCACAGAGAATAAATCCTGCTTTAAAGGACTGCATATATTATGACATTCAGGTTAAAATGAAAATTATGACTTATAAAACATACCCTGAAATTCTATGTCTCCAATTTCGATATGGATCATACAAACTTTCACAAAATGCCAATGCATGGATCACAAATTCTTCAATGGATGTCTGATCTACCAATTCCTTCTCTTTTTTTCTGCTTTTTAACTGAGAATAAAGATATTCATAAACTTATATTTAATTAAAAGTATTAAACTGTTTAACATCCTTACCTATATCATTAAAGGAAAACATATTTCATTCGTCATCTAATAATAAATCATTTTTATTCAAATAAGCCTAAGTTCCATTTGAATCTAAAGTATATCGTCAATTAATCAGATGGCCTGAATATAACCTCTCAAATTTTATTAATTTCCTAGGAAGGGTTTCCAATGAATAACCAAACATCTTTCCAAAAAAACCATGTGTTCAATAGCAAACGTTTGATGAATAATACATAAAATGACAAACTGTGTCATTTTAAAAAACCATTTATAAAACACTTTATTTAAATTAAAATAAACTATATTAAGAACTGCTTATCTACTTTTAGATAACATGTATAAGATGCCTGAAATACAATGTACCAATGATAATTTTAATTCTCTTCTCATGAAAACATTTACTAACTATAGTGAAAAAATAAAACCTAGTTACTTTTAGTAAAGCTACAAAAGGAATATATAATTCACACCTACTTGCTGGATATAAAATGTTGTCATTGTGATGACATGATTAATGTAAGAGCAAGTCCCAATTTCTTCCACATTAGATAGATTTCTGTGAGAAAAAAAGAATAGACATGTGTTTATTACATATGAAAAGTGAGAAAAATGTATATTCATGTATTCAGGTTGGATTCTGAAAACACATGTTGGCAAATGAAATACAAATACATGTATTTAAGCTTAAAATAAATACAGTTATATACCTGCTTTCTCACTCAGAATGTGAAACACACCTCATATACCATTAACTACGATACACAGTTTAAGAAGTGCATGCTGATTAGTATTAATTTATTATAGAAAATTTGGAAAAAAATCACAAAGTAGAAACAAAAGAGGAAAAACAAATCATGAATATTCTTATAAGCCAAACATTTGCAACTATTTCCATTTTAGATGATTTCCTTTCAGGTTTTTTTTTTTCTATGCAGAATCTTAGTTTGGGTTTTGTAAATATCATTGCCATTATAACATATGTGCAGTTTTATAATTTTCACTATGCTTTTTGAAATTATAGTTAGCTTTTTAAACTTGGCAGCATAGTACATTTCTTATTTAAAGAAGTGCATCAGCCCTGACTCGTTTGGCTCAACGGTAAGAGCGTAGGCCCACGGACCAAAGAGACATGGGTTTGATTTGGTCAGGGGCATGTGCCTCAGTTGTGGTTCATCCCGGCCCTCGTCAGGGTCGTGTGGGAGGCAGCCAGTTGATGCGTCTCTCTTGTGTAGGTGTTTCTCTCTCCTTCCCTCCCTCCTGCTCTATCTAAGGATAAGTAGGAAAGTATCCTTGGGTGAGAATTTTTTAAAAAAAGGTGCCCTGGCCAGTTTGGCTCAGCAGTTGGAGTGTCAGCCTGTGGACCATAAAGTCCCAGGTTCGGTTCCCGCAAGGGGCATGTACCAAAAAAAAAAAGAAGTAGATCAATAGTTCTTGGTATAAATTAATATATGGTCCTTGTTTTTTTATTCTATGTTTAAAGATTGAGGTAAGACACATAAAATACTAATATCATCAGTCTTTTTCTTAGGATAACAAACCAAACTCTATTAATTTTCTGTTCTGAGACATTGTGACATTGAAAAATTCCCTGTATCTTAAAATCCAATATAAGCTAAACAAACAGAAAATATACATACAGTAAAGTCAGTCTTTAAATAAAAAGACTGGGCTTGGCTGGTGTGGCTCAGTGGTTGAGCATGGACCCATGCACTGAGAGGTCACAGGTTCAATTCCTGATCAGGGCACATGCCCAGCTTATGGGCCCAATTCCAGTGGGGGGCATGCGGAGATGGCCAATCAATGTTCTCTCTCATTGTTCTCTATCTCTCTCTTCCTTTCCTTTCCTCTCTCTTTCTATAATCAATAAAGGAAAAAAAAAGATTGGCATGACATCTCTGAGAAAACAGTAAAGGAGAGGTAAAATTCAAAGACCCTGCAGAGGATTCTGGGAAGATGGTGGTGTAGAAAGTTCCAGGAATCTGTCTCCACACCTAGAAAACAATCGCACTGGTAGGGTTGGTCTGATATCACTATTTTGGAACTGTAGAGTCTATTGAAGGCTCTCAGTTTAAGAGGAAGACTTGGGCCAGGCCAGTGTGGCTCAGTGGATTCAGCGTCATCCCCTGGACTGAGAGGTCCCAGTTCGATTCTGGATCAGGGCACATGCCAGGGTTGTGGGCTCGATCCCCAAAAGGGGGCAGGTAGAGGCAGTCAATTGATGTTTGTCTCCCACATCGATGTTTCTATCTCCCTCTCTAAAAAAAATCAATCAAAACATATTTTTTTTAAAAAAGAGGAAGACTTGGCCCTGGCCAGTTTGGCTCAGCGGTTAGAGCATCGGCCCATGAACCAGAGTCCTGGGTTAGGTTCCCGTTAGGGACACGTACCTCAGTTATGGTTTGTCCCCGGCCCTGGTTGGGGTCGTGTAAGTGGCAACCAGTCAATGTGTCTCTCTCACATCGATGTTTCTCTCTCTCTCTCTTCCACCTTCTCTCCTTCCTGCTCTATCTGAAGATGAATGCAAAAATGTGCTCGAGTGAGGATAAAAAAAACAAAAACAAAAAAAAGAGGAAGACTTGGAGAATAAATTGCCGTTAATGTTGGTTGATTTTGGTCAATTTCAGCAAATAGCAGGGTCGCAACTACCCAGCCCCAACCCGTCATGTGGGAGGCGGCTGTGCACATGTTCCTGGAACTTGCTAAGAGCTTAGAATAACTAGCATGGAAAAAAAGGACCTTATCCTCCAAATATTGGGGTTTTGTACTCTTTTACTGATTACTGCTTCTGATCACAGAGGAGCAGACAGAGGCAAGCAGCCATTGTTGTTGCACCTATCCCTACTGTTGAAAGTCCCTCCCTCTCTCCTGAAGTAACTTCCAGGGAACTTAAAGGGTCATCAAGGAAACTATCTCAACATAATGAAAGCCATGTATGAAAAATCCACGGCAAACGTCATACTCAATGGTGAAAAACTGAAAAGCTTCTCCTCTTAAGAACAGGAACAAGGCAAAATGGACATTTTTACTACTTCTACTCAACATAGTACTGGGAAGTACTAACTAGAACAACTAAGCAAGAAAAAGAAATTATAAACATCCAAACTGGAAAGGAAGAAGTAAAACTATCAGTTTGTAAATGATACAATTTTATAGGTACAAAACTCTAAGGAGTCCACCAAAAAAAAAAAAACTATTAGAATTAGTAAATAAATTCAGCAAAGAGGCAGGATATAAAGTCAACACATAAAAATCAATTACATTCCTATAACACAATGAATAATCTAAAAAGGAAGTCATGAAAACAATTCCATTTACAAGAGCATCAAAAAGAATAAAATACTTAGGAGTTAACCAAAGAAGTGAAAGACTTGTACAATGAAAATGAAATAAAAAACATTGCTGGAAGAAATTAAAGAAAATATAAATAAATGGAAAGATATCATGTTCATGGATTGAAAGATTTACTATTGTTAAAATGTCAATACTTATCAAAGCAATCTACAGATTCATTGCAATCCCAATCAAAACCCCAATGACATTCTCTGCAGAAACAGAAAACCCCATCCTAAAATTTATATGGAATCTCAAAGGACCCCAAATAGCCAAAACAATCTTGAAAGGAAGAACAAAATGGAGGACTCACACTTCCTGAGTTTATCTTAGTACAAAGCAATAATAATCAAAACAGTACAGAACTGGCATAAGGACAGACATATATACCAATGGAACAGAATACAGAGCCCAGAAATAAATCCTCACATATACTGTCAAAGAATTTTTGACAAAGGTAATAAGACCATTCAATGGGGAAAGACAGTCTTTTAAAAAATGGTGCTAGGAAAATTAGGATATTCAAATGCAAAGAATGAAGCTGTACCCTTACTTTATATCATATACAAAAATTAACTCCAAATGGATCAAGGACATAAGTGTAAGAACTAAAACAATAAAACTCTTAAAAAAAAACATAGTATGAAATCGTCATGACATTAGATTTGGTAATGCTATCTTGGATACGACACCAAAGGTATAAAAACAACCAAAAAGAGACAAACTGGACTTCATAAAAATTTTTAAATTTTGTGCATCCAAAGACACTATCAAAGATGCAACCCACAGAATGGGAGAAAATATCTGCAAATCATATATTTGGTATCCAGAATATATAGAGAACTCCTAAAACTCAACTTCGAAACATAATCAACCCAATTCAAAACAGGACAAAAGTCTTGAATAGGCATTTCTCCAAAGTAGATATATAAACGTGCTCAACATCATCAATCATTAGGGAAATGCAAATCAAAGCTACAATGAGATACCACCTCATATCCATTAGGATACCTATTATCAAAACAACAGAAAACAACAAAAATGTGGAGAAATTAAAACCACTGTGAATTGCTAATGGGAATGTAAAATGGTGCAGCCACCACTATGGAAAATAGTACAACATTTCCTCAAAAAATTAAAACTAGAATTATTACACAACTCAGCAACTCCACTTTTGAATACGTACCCAAAAGAACTGAAAGCAGGGTCTCAAAATCCCTGTTCATAGCAGCATTATTTATAATAGCTAGAACGTGGAAGCAGTTCAAATGTCATCAATGAATGAATCGATAAGCAAAATGTGGTATACACATACAATAGAATGTTATTCAGCTGTAAACAAAATATCCTATATGCCTGGCCAGTGTGGCTCCGTGGTTAAGTGTCAACCCATGCACCAAGAGGTCGCCAGTTCGATTCCCAATCAGGGCACATGCCCAGGTTGTGGGCCAAATCCCCAGTGGGAGGCATGCAGGAGGCAGCCAATCAATGTTCTTTCTCTCTCATTGATGTTTTTCTCTCTCTCTCCATCTCCCTTCCTCTCTCTCTAAAAATCAATAAAGTAAAAAAAAGGATATTCTATAATATGCTACAACATGGATGAACCTTGAGGACATTACGCTAAGTTAAATAAGCCAGTATCCAAAAGACAAATACTGTATGATTTCATTTATAGGTGGTACTAAGGTTAAAATCATAGACACAGAAAATAGAATGGTAGTTACTAGGGATGGGGGAGAGTGAAGAATTATTGTTTAATGGGTACAGAGATTCAGTTCTTCAAGATGAAAAAGAATTATGAGAATATATAGTGGTAAAGCTATACAACAACATATTTGTATTTAATACCACTGAACACTTAAAAATGGTTACAATAAGTGTTATATGTATTTTAACACAATAAAAAAGTGAAAAAATATATAAGCAGAAAAAATAAATCATAAAGTATGTCACCAGCATCTGATGGGGGGAAAAAAGCCTATGCAAGACTTCAATAATAGTAGAGTATGACTAATCTTTCCTCTAAAAACAGGATGGACAAAACGTTTTTTAAAAATTTATTTAAAGGCATCAAAAATACTAAAAGGCAGTGAAAAATTACAACTCCAAGATGCTGAAAAAGTAAACCCATAAAGAGAAGAGATCTGTATTTAGGTCCATTTTTGCCCTCATGACTTCTACCTATTCTGACAGAAGGAGATGAAACAATGAGAAACTGATGAGTAGTACTGACAGTCTCACAGTGCTGAAAGGTGATAGAAACTGGAATCCAGAGCCCAAAAAGGATAGTTTCTAAGGCTTTAGTTTGAGATCCCAAAAAGCGACACTCAAGAAGGGTGAAACAAAAAATAGATCTGTATTCATAGAGACTGAAGTCAAAATCTCAATCACTAACTATATTAGGGGGATCTGAGTGTTCTGAAAACTAATGTAAATTATCTCTGAAGAAAGACAGTATCATCTCAGGTCTGAAGTGATCTCTAAAATATTTCTCAAGCAATGTAAAGCACTCAGTCAAAAATAACTATTCAGTTCAGAAGGCAACAAAAGTCTGCCCTGGCCGGTTTGGCTCAGCGGTTAGAGCGTCGGCCTGGGTCCTGAGAGACACGGGTTCGGTTCCCGCTAAGGGCACGTACCTCGGTTGCAGTTTGTCCCCGGCCCTGGTCGGTTGTGCGGGTGGCAGCCACTCGATGTGTCCCTTCACATCGATGTTTCTCTCTCTCTGTTCCTCTCTCTCCCTCCCGCTCTACCTGAACAAAAAATGGAAAAATGTCCTCGGGTGAGGATTAAAAAAAAATAATAAAAAAAGAAGGCAACAAAAGTCTGAAAATCAAAATAAACACAGAAAAAAGCTAAGCAAAAACTAAGGGAAAAAAAAAAGGAAAAGCCAGGCATAAAAGAATAAACTTATTTGATCAATTTCATTTAAATAAAGTTAAAAATTAGACAAAATTTATCCATAGTATTGAATGTCAGGATAACAGTTACCTTTGGAGAGCAATGAAGGGTAGCAATTAAGAGAGAGCATAGAATGGGTTTCTGGGGTACCAGTAATGTCCTATTTCACTCATCACTGAGTGGTGATGACACAGTGTATTCAATTTATAATTTATTTAGCTGTACATTTGTGATCTCACCACTTTAACTTATATACCTTAAACTTCAATAAAAAATAGTGCCATACCAAGGGTAAGACATTAAAAGCAGTTTGCCCTGAATGCAGGCAATAAAGGGGTACAGGGTCGGTAGTAAATCTAAAGACAATAATAAAACTGATGAAAGCCCTGGCCAGTTTGGCTCAGCAGTTGAGTGTCAGCCTGCGGACCAGAGAGTCCTGGGTTCGGTTTCCGGTAGGAGCACGTACCACAGGAAAAAAAAAAAAACTGATGAAAAAACAGTCTACTTTTTTAACATCTCCAAGTGCCAGTGACTGGCAGCTACTGAACATTAAATGTATCATCAGAGACTGATTATCTCCTACTAAAAAATAAGTTCAACCAAAAAATGTGTTGAAAATTCCAGTGCTTTCCTCTCTTACCAAGAGCTAAACATATTGGACTTAAAACCATTACTTACCTACAGAACTTTTTATTTCAGTAAAATTGTACTAGGTAATTAACAGGAGAAAATACAGCAAATCAACTACCACAGCAGCCAACTCATGTCTTACCATCTGAGTAAACTCTTTTCCTTGTAGCATTTTTCTGAATTTTTTTTTTTTTTTTTTTTTTTTAATCCTCACCCGAGGACATTTTTCCATTTTTTGTACAGACAGAGTGGGAGGGAGAGAGAGGAAGAGAGAGAGAGAGAAACATCGATGTGAAAGGGACACATCGAGTGGCTGCCACCCGCACGACCAACCAGGGCCGGGGACAAACTGCAACCAAGGTACATGCCCTTAGCGGGAACCGAACCCGGGTCTCTCCGGACCGCAGGCGGGCGCTCTAACCGCTGAGCCAAACCGGCCAGGGCAATTTTTCTGAATTTTAAAGACAAGAGCACAAAATCAGAAATATGCCTAAGGTTCTGGGAGAGCCTAACTTAGGAGAGAAATGTTTTAACAATTTTTGCTCAATCGTTCTATGATTCCTGCAATCAAAGGCAATGGGTAACTAGTAAAAAGATAAATAAGTTGTAAGTTAAGTCCTTATTTATCTACAAATCACTATAAAATATTTATAAAGCAAATAGTATATACAACAGGAAATGCCTTAAAAATAATAGATTTTGCCCTGGCCCGTCTTGGCTCAGTTGGTTGGACATCATCCCAAGCACCAGGAAGTGGCAGTCTGGATTCCTGGTCAAAGGCGCATGCCCCAGTTATGGGCTTGATTCCCAGTGCAGGGTATGCAGAAGGCAGCTAATCAATCATTGTTGCATTCTCATATCAATGTTTCTCTTCTCTACCTTTCCCTTCCTCTCTCTCTAAAAATCAAAAGATTTTTAAAAGATGTGATAGCCCAAACTCAATAGTTCTCAACATCTGATATGCAGATTAACTTGGAATTTGTGAAAAATCAAAATGCCTGAATGAGCTCTTGTGTATCAGAATTTCCATAAGTAAGGCTTAGGCTCTGAATTCTGTTAAACTTCCCAGTTGACACTTAAGCATATCTAAATTTAAGTACCCCAGACCTACTTATCTATAAACCTGGAAAATACAAGCTGTAGAATAATTATACTTTCTTGGTACACTTAAAAATTGAAACATTAGAAAAGTACATTTCAAAAGTAATAATGCACAGCACTAAAAATGTACATATGTCTATAGGTGAGCACCACACAAAAAATATTAGTGCTGCCCTGGCCGGCTTGGCTCAGCGGTTAAGAGTGTTGGCCCGCAGACCAGAGAGACCCAGGGTTCAGTTCCCAATAAGGGAACCTCCTCGGTTGAGGTTTGTCCCCGGCCCTGGTTGGGGTCGTGTGGGTGGCAACCAGCCGATGTGTCTCTCTCACATTGATGTTTCTCTCTCTTTCTCTCTCTCCCACTCTATCTGAAGATAAAAATGTGAAAATATCCTCGGATAAGGATTAAAAAAAAAAAGAAGAAAATATCAATGCAATAAACTCTTGGATTAGGAAGAACTCTTATCATTGTTTTCACTCTAAAGCAATTTTTTTTTAAATCTTAGCCAAATCTCTCTACAACTAGTTATAGTAACTAAAAGGCTTTCCAATATACTAACAAACCAAAAGTCTATTGCAAAAGGTGCACTCATTCTTCAATGCTCCACATGAAAAACACCATTAATAATCAATAAATACATTACCATTTTGGTAATATTTACTTAAAACAAATAACTAGTTTATTTGTACCAGATACCTGCAAAGAATAATGAAGAATTTGACAAGCAAAACTGATAAGGCTTGCTGTTGTTCCTCTAACCCATCTGCCATTTTCTGAACACAGTGTAGTAGCTGGATCCTCAGAACCTGTAGAATATTGTCAGGAAGCAGAGATATTCCTGGAGGCACATCATCTACCCTACAATATAAAGGAAACAAAATAAGGTGTTTAAAAACAGGAAGAAAATGTTTCCCACTACAGAGGAATTGCATTTTCAGCTCAAATCCTAAAGCTCTTTTATTCCAGATACTTTGTGCCTTCTTCTCTGTAAGGCACCACCAGATGATTAGTAACACTTTAGAAGATTATTAGAGGAGTGGTTAATCTTACTTCAGAGGAGACTTACTGAAAAGAGAGAGAGAGGCTTTTTATATTTTCGATTGTACAATTTTTAAAGAAAATACTTAGAATATAAATTAGTTCACTTACTATTTACAATATATTTGTGTATATGTGTATACCATTTCTAAAGGAAATAATAACTAGCAAACAAAAATAAAGTATCTATTACTAGTGTAATATTTTTCAACTGCTTTACTAAATAAATAATATTCGTCTATCTATAGGTTGCCCAAGCCATGTGCTCAGATGAGGGAGAGAAGACAACCAGCAAAAGGAAAGCAGAAAGAGAAAGAGGTAAATGTAGAACCCCAAGCATGAACATAATAGAAGATTTTTCTAAGTAATATTTCAATATTTTTGACAACTGGTTTCTGTGTAAAAAGGACTTTACGATTCTTTTTTTTGTTGTTGTTGGTACGTGCCCCTAGCGGGAACCGAACCGGGACTCTCTGGTCCATAGGCCGATGCTCCAACCGCTGAGCCAAACCAGCCAGGGCTAAGGACTTTACGATTCTTTAAGGGCAAAAACCAACATCAGATGTGGTGTGTCTCTCATAATAAAAATTCCCTAGATTCAAAATCAGAAGACCTACACACTAAGTTCCCTCTGTAACATGAAATACTAAATTTAATCTCAAACATTCCCTAATCTATAAAATTGTACTATCATCTGCATTATTTCACAGGGCTCTGAAACCAGAAAATCAATGTGTATTTTCAGCTTTGAATTATGTAAGAATTGTAAAAATGTAATACATTTTAAAAATACTATCACTAAAGCCTAAGAGTCTTTTCATAAGTCACTGTATACTACTAATTTCCCTGTCTCTATTAAGAAAAATGCCCAAGCCCTGGCCAGTTTGGCTCAGTAGTTCAAGTGTCAGCCCATGAAGAGAAGGGCCAAGGATTTGATTCCCACCCAGTCAAGGGCACATACCTGGGTTACAGGTTCATCCTGACCCAGTCAGGGTCCTGTGGGAGGCAACCAATCAACGTTTCTCTCTCACATCTTTCTTTCTTCCTCCCTCCCTCCCTCCCTCCCTCCCTCCCTCCCTCCTCCCTTCCCTTCCCTTCCCTTCCCTTCCCTTCCCTTCCCTTCCCTTCCCTTCCCTTCCCTTTTCTTCCTTTCTTTCTCCTTCTCTCTCTCTCCCCTCTCCCTCCCTCTATCCCACTCTATCTTAAAAAAAAAAAAAAAATCAATGGAAAAATATCCTCAGGTGAGAATTAACAAAAAAAAGAAAAATGCCCAAATCACGAAGGAACACCCTAAAGAACTGCTATTAAATAGCAATTATAATGCCCAGCTGGCATGGCTCAGTGGATTGAGCATTGTCCCAGGGACTGAGAGGTCCCGCCCAGTTCAATTCCAAGTATGGGCACATGCCTGGGGTAGGGGACTCAATCACAGGTAGGGGGCATGCAGGAGGGGGCCAATCGATGTGTCTCTCTGACATTGATGTTTCTCTCTCCTTTCCTCCCTCTCTCTAAAAAAATCAACAGAAACATATTTTTAAATAAATAAATAATAAAAATTATACTTTATAACTCTCTCTTCTGATAATGTTTAGTATGAAGTATTACTACTATTTTACAATAAGTAAAAGGCCATTTCATTCACTGTGGACAGAAAAATCTAGCACATTACTAGTAGTCATATAAAAATATGTATGATTGCCCTGGCCGGTTTGGCTCAGCGGTTAGAGCGTCGGCCTGCGGTCCTGCTAAGGGCGCATACCTCGGTTGCAGTTTGTCCCCGGCCCTGGTCGGTTGTGTGGATGGCAGCCACTCAATGTGTTCCTTTCACATCGATGTTTCTCTCTCTCTCTGTTCTTCTCTCTCCCTCCCACTCTACCTGAACAAAAAATGGAAGAATGTCCTCGGGTGAGGATAAAAAAAAAAAAAAAGATATGTATGATTAATATTATTAGCCTCTTTCTGAACCACACTACAATGTAAAATGTGTTTTATAAATAAACACCTGACTTTAATTACACAGAAAATAAATCACATGGCACATTGCCAAGACTGCCAAATTCTATAACCATGTTACAAAAATAAGGTTTCCTGTTAGTCTGGGCATAGCTTCACTTGTAGCTGTGGATTCTTCCTTCTCTCTTATCCATAGATGGTACCAGAGAAACTCTTTTTTATATATACTTTTTTTCTTGTTGAAAGCTTAAAAAGAGGTGATTAAAAAAACTAGATTAACTTCAAAATATTAAGCAAAGATTTAAATGTAACTGATTTTCAAGATTAAGGTCAACTATTCCTCCTCACTTTTCCAAAAACGTAAGTCAACAAGAAAGAAAATGTCACATTTCCTAATATTCAATCCTAGTTACTTAAAGGAGTAGTCCTTTTGTCCTTAGTTGTCCCATTTCCTTTTTTTTTTTTCATTTGATTATTCAATTTATTTATTTAATCCTCACCTGAGGACATTTTTCCATATTTTGTTCAGATAGAGTGGGAGGGAGGGGGGAAGAGAGAGAGAGAGACATCTACGTGAAAGGGACACATCGAGTGGTTGCCACCCACAGGACCCAACCAGGGTCGGGGACAAACTGCAACTGAGGTGCGTGCCCTTAGCGGGAACCAAACCAGGGTCTCTCTGGACCGCAGGCCAACGTTCTAACCGCTGAGCCAAACCGGCCAGGGCTGTTCCATTCTCTATTTGCACATGTTTTTTATTTTCATAGACAGAAAAAACATTAGCTTCTAAAAGAGAAATCCATGGTTTTTGTTTTTGTTTTATTAACACTGATTATAAAATTGAGGCTTAGTTAAAACATGATGTATAAACAAAGTTGAAATTTTTAGCCATGTTCCTAATATGATGAAGAGTTAAGAATTTAGAAGCATTTTCCAACCTCTAGGACTTTACTGTCCAAAATTCTAGGCCACTTTTTGTTGAAATTTTCCAAATCTGTTCCACTCCTCTGTTTGGCTACTGAGTGTCTATTCAAAACAGCTGCTAACTATCTATCACAGGAAGAAGTCCAGCTTAAATTTCAAGGCTTTAAATTCTGGCAAAAGCAATCCCTGCCTTGTGTTATGAATTCTCTAACTTGTAAATTCTATAGAGTCAGTTTACATTCAGTGATTATCTGTGAGTTTCTTATCTTTAAGGTTGACTAGACTAATTTCATACATCTGGTACATAGCATTCACTTGAAAAATTGAAAGTTTTCTACTAATAAAATCTAAATTCATCATTTAGTTTTCTGACAAAGATATGAAATACAACCTTAAATAAGCCAACACAATCACAAGTAAAGCAATGTTTTTGGCATTCTTCCACTTTAATGTAAAATTATATATTTACATAATGTTTTTAGAAATGATGTCTCAAGAAAAGAGACATTTATAATGTAAGGATAGTAAATACCCCTTAGAAAATCCCAAGCATTCAAAGGCCCAAGTCTTAACTCCATAAAATCCTTAGATTCAAGTTCTGAAGTGAGTTGTAAATTATTTAAAAAGCACTTCTAAGCACAAACTACAAGAATATTCTTTTCATGAATAGAAATCAATAATATATAATCTTATTTTAAGTTAAAGATTTAACATTTTTCAACCTTTATAGACCTGTTACAAATAATCTAATGAGAAAGAAGTTTGAAACTGTATGTATAAATATTAAAGCACTACTGTTTTTGAAGCATAATTACATCCTTTTTTAAGTTCATTTTGTTGGTATCCAAAGCTCTACTGATTTATTTCTCTGAATTATTACAATCACCTCTTAAATGGGCTTGTTGCCTTCAGTCTCAACCCCTTCCAATACAACCTCCAAATTCCATCAAAGTGACTTTACAAACACTTAACATAATGCTTTTATGCAGAAAATTCTTTAGTAGAGACTTGTATCTTCCATAACAAAAAAAATCAAAGTCCATTAACAATGTATGTCTGACACTTCAAGATCTGGTTCCCATTCGATTCTCCATATTCAACTCGTCTGTACCTACCCTCTATACTGCCTACCTCCATCCCCAAATTGCAAATGCTTTCCTCCTTGAAAATGTTTAATTCTCCAGATATTCTTTCTCATCATCAAACACCATCCATGTCACACAGACAACAGTGCGGAAAAATGTAGGAGGGGGGCGGGAGCGAGGAGGAGGGGGTCAATAGGGGAAAAAGGAGGAACATCTGTAATACATTCAACAATAAAGTTTAAAAAAAAAACACCACCATCCATTTCTTCCCTCCCCTCTCAACACATCTCTATAAATGGAGTTCCTTTTGTAGTTAAAGTGTCTCATTTCTCCAGCTTCATAACCCAGTCAACCTAAACTCTATTACCTGACTTATAACTAGGGTTCTTCAAGATGGCTTGAGATACAACTTTATCTGAGAAGTGGGCCTGGGAACTAAGAGAGTGGGAAATGGTGGTAGGAAGAGCAATGGGGAAAAAGATGTGTCCTTTCACTTGTACGTTTCCATAAGTTTTTAATTTCCCCCCTATTTTATGATTTTCAAATTTAGCTTTTAAAATTATAAATACTTCACATTCTCCAAGATGTTTTTCTAAGGCCCTACTCTAAGGCCAGGAATAGAAAAGTAAGTTTCAACTCAAATGCCTATGGTATGATAAAGAAATCTTATGCAAATGAAGTGACCCATGGTAGGCCCTTAAATAGTTTTGAGAAAGGCTAGATTGGCCACATTTGAAAGACCCTTTTCCCCTCAACTTTCTGGGAGGGGAAAGAAACTGGGGACTAAGTTCAATCATACAGTCAATTAGGTGATAAGACCCAATTAAAGTCTGGACACCCAAAGCTCAAAGAGTTTCCTTATTTGAACACTCTGATGTTCAGAGAAAGGCAACATGCCCTGACTCCATAGGGAGAGAGGACTGAAGCCCTGTATCCAAGACCCTTTCAGGCCCTGTCTGTCCTACATATATCCTTTATGATAAAACCATAATCATAAGTATAGCACATTCAGTGAGCTCTGTGAGTCCTTCTAGGAAATTGTTGAACCTGAGAGAGCTGTGAGAATCCCCAAATTTATAGCTGGTTGGTAAGTGTGTGTGGCTCCTAAGACTTCGTCCTTAAGTTGTGGGATTTGGCACTAACTTGGGGTAGTTTCAGAACTGAAGTGAACTGCAGGACACCCAGTTGCCAGAGAATGACCAAAGAAGAAAAGAGCCCTCTAGAAGCCAAGTCTAATATCAGCAAAAAAGACTACAGTGATCAATTAGCAATGTCTAAAATGAGAGCAAGGTTATAACAGGAGTATCAAGTGTGTCACATAACTGTCATCCTTGTATATGTCATAAATGAAGTCTTTGCCAAATATTAACAAACTCACCCAAGGGTAAGAAATTAAGTATTTGTACATACCTGGTGGGCAGTTTTTCAAAGTCAACATCTAAGAATTGTTCATAGCTAGATACAAAATTGTCCAACCATAGCTTCAGGTAATCTGGATCTTTCTGAAAGTAGAAAACCATTATAGTATTAAGTGTATCTGTCAGAAAAGAAAAAGAAGTTTTTACTCCCATTAAGCAGATATAAATTGATAAATCTGAATAAGAAATAAAGTAAAATCTCGAAGTGATATTCAGGAAGACATATGTTCTAAGTACAGTGAACACTCAAATGGCTTTTCAATGTCACTCACACAAAGAACTATAGTCCTAACAACAGCCTATAAGATTCTAAACAATTTTCCCTCCCTTATCTCTGTGACCTTACCCATTATTACCCTGACCTACAATGACTGGCTGGCTGGCTGGCACTGGAAAACACCAGACATGCACCAACCTAAGGCCTTTGTAATGGCCGTTTTTTCTACCCAGAACACTCTTCCCTCAAACAGCTGAATGGCTAATTCCTTCATCTTAAAGTCATTCTTTAAATGACATATTCTCAATGAAGCCTAATTTTTACACATTTTTCTTTTTTTTAAATATATTTTTATTGATTTTTTTGAGAGAGAGAGAGAGGAAGGGAGAGATAGAAACATCCAAGAAACGCTGATTGGCACGCCCCCTACCAGGGATCAGGCCTGCAACCAGGGCAGGTGCCCTGACTGAGAATCAAACCAGGGCCTCTCAGTCCATGGGACAACGTTCGATCCACTGAGCCACACCGGCTAGACTACCACCCTTTCTTTTTTTTCTTTACTGATTTTAGAAAGAGAGGAAGACGGGGAGAGAGGTATATACACTGATGAGAAAGAATATCGACTGGCCGCCTCCTGCATATCCCCACTGAGGATCAGGACCACAACCTGGGCATGTGCCCTGATCAGGAATCGAACCGGTGACCTCTTGGTGCATGGTGCTACACTCAACCAGTAAGTCACACCAGCCAGCCAATGTACCACAGCTTTTTTATCCACTCATCTACTGATGGATACTTGGGCTGTTTCCAGATCCTAGCTATTATAAATAGGGCTGCTAGGAACATAGGGGTGCATATATTCTTTCTGATTGGTGTTTCAGGCTTCTTAGGATATATTCCTAAAAGTGAAATCACGGATGAAGTGGCAGTTCAATTTTTAATTTTTTGAAGAAACTCCATATTGTTTTCCATAATTTGCATCTCTCTAATTATTAGTGATGTTGAACATTTTTTCATTTGTCTGTTGGCCATCAGTATGTCCTCTTTGGAAAAGTGTTTATGAAGGTCCTCTGCCCATTTTTTAAATTGGATCCTCTATCTTCCTTTTGTTGAGTTGTATGAGTACTTCATATATTTTGGAAATTAACCCCTTATCCGATATATCATTGACAATTATGGTATCCCATACAGTGAGTTCCCCTTTCATTCTGATGCTTTCTTTTGCTGTGCAAAAGCTTTTTTGTTTGATGTAGTCCTGTTTATTAATTTTTTCCTTTATTTCTCTTGCCCTAGGTGGTGTATCAGTGAAAATTCCGCTCCATGTGAGGTCTAAGATTTTGTTGCCTACATTTTCTGGGACTTTTATGGTTTCACAACTTAACAATAATTAAGTCTTTTATCCATTTTGAGTTTATTCTTGTGTATGGTGTAAGTTGGTGGTCTGGTTTCATACTTTTGCATGTACCTGTCCAATTTTCCCTACACCATTTATTGAAGAGACTATCTTTACTCCATTGTATGCTCTTGCCACCTTTGTCAAATATTAATTGAGCATAATTAGACAAAGATTTCTTAGCTAAAACACAAAAATCACAAACCAAAGAAAAGAAAAAATTATCAGTGGTTTTGATCAAAATTTTAAAACTTCTAACCATAAAAAGACATCATTAAGAAAATAATGCCCTGGCCAGTTTGGCTCAGCAGTTAGAGCATCGGCCTGCAGTCCAGAGAGACCAGGTTCGGTTCCTGTTAAGGGCACATACCTCGGTTGCAGTTTGTCCCTGGCCCCGGTTGGGTCATGCGGGAGGCAGCCACTTGATGTGTCCCTTTCACGTCGATGTTTCTCTCTCTTCCTCTCTCTCCCTCCCACTCTATCTGAACAAAAAATGGAAAAATATTCTCGGGTGAGGCTAAAAAAATAAAATAAAAAGGCCATATACCAGCTGAAAATATTTTCACTCCATATATTGGACAAAGGACTTATACCAAGAATATACAAACCAATACCTCAATTTAAAAATGGGCAAAAGGGCCTGGCCACTCTGGTTCAGTGGACTGAGCGTCATCCCGTTGACTGAGAGGTCCTGGTTCGATTCCAGTCAGTATACATACCTGGGTTGCAGGCTCGATCCCCAGTAGGGGGCTTGCAAGAGGTAGCCTTTTGATGTTTCTCTCTCATGATCAATTTTTCTCTCTCCCCCTCCCTCTCTCTAAAAACTCAATACCGAAGGGTCTCAGGTTTGATTCTCTGGCAAGGGCACGTACCTGGGTTGTAGGTTCAATCCCAGGCCCTGGTCTTGGTCGTGTGGGAGGCAACCAATCAATGCATCTCGTTTACATTAAGATCTTTCACATCTCTCTTTCTCTCCCCAGCCCCCTTCCAGTCTATCTAAAAATAAAAAATAAGTGGAAAAATATCCTCAGGTGAGGATTAACAAAAAATTAAAATAAAAATGGACAAACAACACTTTACAAAAAAGGATACACAAATGGCTAAATAGCACATGAAAGCATGCTCAACATCATTAGTTATTGAGGAAAATTAAAATTAAAATCAAATGAAACTCCATTACACAACCACTAGAATAGCTAAAATGAAAGAGACTAATCAATATAAGTGAAAATGTAGAGCTACTGTAACTCACATTTCTGATGGGATATATAATCACTTAGAAAACAATTTGGCTTTTCGTTTAAAGTTAAACATACATTTACCACATGGCCTATCCATTTCTCCTGAGAGAACTGAAAACATATCCACAAAAAGCCTGTACAAAAATGGTCATAGAATGTTACAGCTGAAACCGTAAAAATCCTAGAGAAAACATAGGCAGTAAAATCTCAGACGTTTCTCATAGTAATCCTTTTTTCTGATATATCGCCTTAGGCAAGGAAAACAAAAGAAAAAATAAACAAATGGGACTACATCAAACAAAAAATTCTTACACAGCAAAGGAAACCATCAACAAAATGAAAAGACAGCTGAAGGTCTCAGGTTCAATTCCCAGTCAGGACACACACCTAGGTTACAGGTTTGGTTCTCAGTCATGGTACGTTCAAGAGGCAATCAATCAATGTTTCTCATTCACACTGATGTTTTTCTGTCTCTCCCTTTCTCTCTCTAAAAATCAATGAACATGTCCTCAGGTAAGGATTAAAAAAAATTTTTAAAGAAAAGAATGGGAGAAGTTATTCACCAATGATATATCTGATAAGGGGTTAACATCCAAATTTTATAAAGAACTTCTACCACCCAATACACAAAAAAACAAACAATCCAATAAAAAAACTGGGCAAAGGACCTGAACGAATACTTCTCCAAACAGGACATACAGATGGCCAATAGACATATGAAAAGATGTTCCACGTCACTAATCACCAGACAAATGCAAATTAAAACCACAATGAGATATCACTTCATGCCTGTCAGAATGGCTGGCTATCATCAATAAATCAATAAACAAGTGTTGGCGAGGATATGGAGAAAGGGAAACCCTCACACACTATTGATGGGAATGCAGATTGGTGCGGCCATTGTAGAAAACAGTATGGAGTTACCTCAAAAAATTAAAAATGGAACTGCCTTATGACCCAGTGATTCCACTTCTAGGAATATACCTGAAGAAACACAAAACACTGATTCAAAAGAATAGATGCACTCCTATGTTGGTTGCAGTGTTATTTACAATAGCCAAGATTTGTAAGCAGCCCAGGTGTTACCCATCAGTAGATGAGTGGACAGACTGAAAACCTCAGAGGGAAGGGGGTGGAGGGTGGAAAGAAGTAAAACAAAGAACTTGCATGCATAACCAATGCACACAGACAACAAACAGTACAGTGAAGGCAGAGTGGGGCAGGAGTGGGGAGGAGGGTGTCAATGGGGAAAGAAGGAGGGACATCTGCAATACTTTCAACAATAAAGATAAATTAAACAATAAAAGAAGCTGTGGTACATTTACACAATGAACTACTACTAAACCATAAAAAGGAAAGAAATCTTACCCTTTGCAACAGAATGGATGGACCTGGAGAGCATTATGCTAAGTGAAATAAGCCAGTCAAAGAAAGACAAATGCCATATGATTTCACTCCTATATGGAATCTAATAAACCAACAAAATTGACTCACAAAGAACAGACTGACAGCTGTCAGAAAAGGAGGGGGTTTGAGGGACTGGGTGAAATAGAAAAGGGGGCTACAGGGAAAAAAAACTTCATAGACACAGACAATAGTATTGGTGATTACCAGACAAAAAGGGGGTTCAGGGGAAGTAGAAGATGGTATGGGGGAATAAATGGTGAGGGAAAGAGACTTGACTTGGGATGTTGAACACACAATACAATATACAGATGATGTATTACAGAATTGTACACCTGAAACCTATACAATTTTATTAACCAATGTTACCTCAATAAATTCAATAAGAAAAAAAATAAAATATGCATAGTGTTCTAAGGAAAAATACTCATATAATTATTTTTATTATTATTATTTTTTTTTATCCTCACCCGAGGACACTTTTTCATTCTTTGTTCAGATAGAGCAGGAGGGAAAGAGAGAGAGAGAAACATCGATGTGAAAGGGACACATCGAGTGGCTGCCACCCGCACGACCAACCAGGGCCGGGGACAAACTGCAACCGAGGTACATACCCTTAGCGGGAACCGAACCCGGGTCTCTCCGGACCGCAGGCCGACGCTCTAACCGCTGAGCCAAACCGGCCAGGGCCATATAATTATTTTTAATAGCCAAAAGCTGTAAACAAACCAAAATTCTATCAACAGGTTAACTGATAAAAAAAAATTGTGTTTATTCACACAGTGGAATGCTATTCCCTAATAATGAATGAACTACTGATTCAACGACA